TTTTTCCTTGAGGGGTTTTGCCCGGACGCCGGGTTTCCCCTCCATATGTTACCATGTTGGTATTTTCTGATGTATCCTGGGGCGTTCTTGCCCAATTGATGGTTAGTCACTTGCGTGAAGAACCAGGGAGGGTGTTCGTGAGTCTGCGAACATTGCTGTTGGATACATGTGCTGGATGATTTTGTGTCACGCAGACTGGTAAGATAACCGTTTGATAGGGGGCACCGCGATGATTCACGGGGCCCCTCCTTGCTGTGGGAGCCGCTCTTTGAGCACTCCCTCTTTCGTCCGTGTGAAGGACGGTCGTCTACCTCCCGTGAAGTTAATACATCACCAAAACAGTCTCACCCGATAAATAAGTGGCGTAGGCCGCAAACAAATCTAACGAATGGAATTGCGTCTCGGCTCGTCGATGGTCTTGCGCTCGTGTACGAGCACCACAACACTGATTGTACTTCAAGACTAGAATAGAGTCCAGTCGGTAACTATTCGTGATACATTGCACGCGTCGTCTTGTACCTTGTGCTTGAAATCTCACCTCTGTCTCCCAGACATCTTGGCTGCTGCCGATTTCGTTGTTGAGTTTCTTTGCTGCGCTGTATGATGAATGAGGCCACATGGTTCGATCGTTCTTCGATCTTGGCTGAAAATCCACCGACGGGCCGGCCAAAATATTTTGGGTCCTTTATATAATCCAACTAGACTAGTTGCAATTTTCGAAGTTGCGCCTCACCCGGAAAAATTGTTTCTGCCGCTGGTGGAGCCTGTGGTCGATGTCCAGCATCGTTTGGAACTACTGTTTTACCGATGAGTTCATTTGTGTGTTCCATCAAATAACAGACCGTCCCGCGTGTATTAGCCTGTGGTTTTCATCCCATTCCGTAACTATCGACTCAGCGAAGCCCCAGTCTGCGAAGGAGCATACAGAGGCCTCTCCAAGACTTGATACAACAATTGTATAGCGCCTCTTTCTCCTGTACCTGCAATCGTCGATGCAATCCCATAGTAGCTGGGTCCGCGCAGTACGTCAAAAACGCAAACAGGGACAAACTCGCACCCCACGAAGCCGTTGTGTGCCGCGAAAGCCCTGAGACGGGTCGATGCATGGCGTCTCGTGTGCTCAAAGGTCCTCCCCCATCATGAAGCAGAGCGTCACCACACCCAGACATTGACGTACTCGAGTTTCCCTCTCTCGGTATCTGCTCTCATTTTTCTCGTCCATCACCAACTGTTTCATTCATCTCGCCGGGAACTCAGGTCAAAATGCCCCCCTGTACGACGAACATCGTCATTGGTCCGGACGGTTGGGCGTCAATGCCGGTAAGGACGATCTCGCATTCCACCGACGTCAAGCGACGTCGAAAGGCTGAGTAGAGGAAGAAAGAGCGGGAGCGCGAGAAGCTCCGGAAACCTGAGGCTAAGGCCACCATCTACGAGCCGACTATAACACCAAAGCGAAAGAACGACGATCGAAACGATCACCAGCCTCTTCTCTCGGCTGGGGCGGCGTCGGTGCCATCCACCATGGCGGCGCCTCCAACCGAGCCGGATGACGCCCAGGTCCCGCCGCCGACCAGGCCTACGACAACGGGGGAAAACCGCACGGATGATGGGGTAGCAAAGAGTTCTTCCGCGGGCGAAGGCACGACGATCGAGCGAGAGGAGCTACGCAAGCTACTCTTCGTCAAGGTGGAGGAAGAGCTGGCGCGGCGCCAGGCGACGGGTGCGGCGGCTGAAGCGGCGGCAACGGCGGCAACGGCTGCAGCAGCTGCGGCGGCGGCCGCGGTGCCAGTGACGGAATCGCCCTTGCAAGTGCCAGAGCCGTTTGTGCCCTCCACGCCGCTCTCGCCGCTAGCGCCGCTGCAGCCCTACTACTACTGCGATCCGCTCCTGAACCGCTGGGCCCACTTTGCCATGGACTGCGGGTTCTACGCAGGGGTGGCCCCTGTTCTGCTCCAGCACATTGTGTCGACCGTGTACGGAGCGGAGTTCGCAAGCCGCGTGGCGACGCTTTCGACGGCCGACGTCGACTACATGTTCGACGTGTTCTGGATCAACGTCGTCTGCTCGTTCAGCCGCGAGTATATATTCTTCAGGATGGCGACCCGCCTGCGCAACGGCAGCATGACGAGGGTGCGCGGTACAGTCAAGAGGCACAAAGCAAACTACGGGAAGAGCGCGGGGAGCAGTGACTGCGTTTTGTGTTGCTCGTGTCTCGCGTTGCTCGCCTAATGAAACATTATTCTTGTCACTGATGGTGACGGCGACCTCCCGAAAACGTCGTGAAGAGAGATGGACAAACGCCTCTACTCGTATTGCGTGGTGTTGTTCGTGGTCGAGGATATGGTTCGTACACAAAATGAAATATTGTCGTTTTTGTCCGCCACACTGGTGTCCCTATCGCATGGGTTCTGGGTGTGTAGCTTACGTGGTCGTGTACATGGCAGACCTGCCTCCCCCCTGGTTAGGGGCATTCTAACATGGCCTTGAGCACGAACAAAACACCCGGCAATCACGGCCGCCTCAGAAGCATCAGGCTGATCTGTATCACTGCACCTCACCATACGTTTCACCTCCCGTGTCACCCCCCGCTCCCTGCCGCACCTACCGCTACCTCTGCCTCGTCAGGAGTCGGGAGATTTCGGGTGGCACATCTACGGCCTCACGACAGGAGGAGCCGACACCACATGGCTGTGCTTCACGGAATGCCACGGGCCGAGTCCGGATTTCAGCACAAATCTCTTTCACGGCCAATGGGTCAGCTTCCCTCCCGCTGTCACCATGTTCGCCTAGTGCACAACTTCACTCTAGATTACCATAGCACATCGTGAACATCTGTTGCAGGGGTCTGCGCTAAGGGGGAAAGCTCATCTTATCGGTCCGAACAACGGCGTTTTCTTGACTCTGTGTTCATTGAATACGTGGTCGGACGTAGTGAAGATGATGCTGTCAGCGGGTATTCATCGACTATTAGCTGCTTCGACAAGCAAGCAGAAGCCATAGACTCATCGACGCCCCGTCCCATGTCATCGTGTATTTGTGCGTGTTGCTGAAGCTTTCGTTACGCAATTTTGTAGAGCGTTTGGCGCGTTCTTGTTCAAATGTCTGCGGAATTCATTGATAGTTCTTGGTTCACTTGCAATCGGTGTAGAACACCGAGCATTGCGGGTGTGATGTCGCTTGGCGTGTTCGTGCCATCGCTTTAGAGTCCCCCCCCCTGGGATCAGCGGAGATAGAGGTACAAGCGGGTTGCTAACAGAAATCTGGGTCTGGGTCCACTTCGACTCCCGTTTGGCGATGAATGCCTGCACGTTGTGCCGTCAAACGTGTGGTCCGTACGGAGGCCCGGGTATTGAAACTAGACTGAACTTTCACTCTGCCGTTGAACGCAAGACGGTGGCGAAGCGGTCAGCATCCCTTGCACTCGACCTTAGAGAGGGAGGGTATATGGGTAGACATTAGATATGTGTTGTACTTGTAGTTCATTGGTGTGGAATACACAAAATTAGGGCAGTGGAAGAGCGAACTCGCCGTCCTATTGTAGGGTGTTCTTTGGTGTCTGTATGGGCGAAAGGGGGGGCGATGTCACGAGGGTTTAATGGCGCCACGGAACCACGCTTGGTTTTGCCGTCGCCAGTAATTCGCCCATCTTGTCGTGAAAGCCTCTTCTCGCCATGGCAATTTCTTTTAGGCCGTTCAAAGCTTGAACACTACGCTTCCATCTCTGCAAAAACAAACTTCACTCCGAAAAGTCTCCGGCGGGAAAAGTTCCACGGGTTCTTTCTATAATGATCCTGTGAGGGTACTGCTGTCGTGCGTCAGCCCAACAACCGAATGAATGGAGTCGCACGGGCCGTTCGCTAACATTCAAAGGGGTCATTGCTGAGGTATGGTCTACCACATAAAGAGCCGTCACGGCTAGATGCCAACGAAATATAGACTGCGATGAATGAAACCATCGCACAAACACACTGTCGGGTCGTCCCGGTGGTCTAGGGTAGCCTCGCAGCCTGCTAAGGGCCAGGTCATGGGTTCGAGTACCGACAGAATGAGTTTTTTCTCGCTTGTTAAATCCTGGTCTCCGTTGGAAGCGACGCGCTGCAAAGCTCGTTGTTAGTAAACTTGATCGACTTCATAAGTCGCGAGGGAAGGGATTGCTGTACCCTTCTCGCGAAAAAAAACATCAGGCAGGAACCGCAGGAGGGGGTCCAACCCCCCCCTCCTATGTATGTGACCCCGGTTGGGTCGGCTAGCTGGTAGAAGTGGAGGATAAAGGCCAGAGGGGCAGACGACAGAGTCCAATGATGGGAGAAAAACAACAACAACTGTGCCTAGCACATGGTGACCGTTTTCTTACAAAGGAGCCAATGCGTATTCACGGTCTAGACCATAGCGATGAGGAAGCGGAACACCTTCAAAACAAAGTCGGAAGGAATGCTCTACAGGCCGGCACGGCTGTCACACGATACCACATTGCCCAGCTGACCAGCCCCTACCGCTACTACAGAAGTGAGCGCATCCTCAAACTCCCGACCAACTACCCACACAGACGACGCAGAACGTAATGAACTTCAGCTGGCCTGCTCGTCTGAAGGGGAGATGATCAAGTCATCCCTGTGGTAGTACTCCGCCAACAGCCGGTAGATGTACGACGGTTGCAAGCCCCCCATGTTGGTGATGTAGAGATCGACGAGGTTGGGTGGGATGTAGTCGTACGCGGGGTTCAAAACCTGCGGGCCACGCGACACAGGACATGACATTGCTGATATCGTTGCTCCTTACGTCAAACTCTCTGCACAGCACCTTCTAGTTTCTGCATGCTACACCAAAGAGCCAATAACCAGTATAACGCGAGTGCTCTCTGGCAATCTTGAACAGGTGCCGCAGAATACCATCAACCTCCACGCAACACAGAAGGTGAACGCAGCACTGTTGCTACAGGCAGCACGTTGCTTCCAAACGTTTCGCGAACATCATAGCAACCGATAGCATCATTCACTTCCTCCCGTTTGCGCTACATCTGTACACACATGCCGGCATGGCTGAGCGCCTTAGGAAGCGTGGTGTGGTTGCCTGCTCACCTCGACGTTCTTCATGCTGTCCTTGTCCTTGAAGGACATCACCGCAGCGGGCGAGAGAAGGCAGTTGAACGTGTCCTGATCGTGAGGAAACAGCGGGCACAGCTGCAGAGCGAGCGGACCACCGGCGGAGACAGAGGCTGTTGTGAAGGCAGCGTGGCCTGAGTCTTAAGAGCGATGTGGCCTTCTCGGACAAAGTTAGCGGAAAAAAAACAAATTCATTGTCGTAGTCGGCCCAGTTTGCCGACCTTCTACAGCTGCTGCATGGCAAGGGAGGCATTCCAAATGTTGGGGTCTAAACCGAGACCATGCTGCTTCACCCTTCGCCTTCTCCGTAAACCAGGGTTGTTGGCCAGGAGAGAATGAAATCTAACGGAACACCCAGGGCAAAAACGTATTTGAGCACGCTGCCGAACCTACCTCAGGGTCGCGGGAAAAAAAAAAAAAAGAAAAACAGCCCAGACATTACCATACGCAAGAAACAGGTTTCGGTCCCTGGGACGACTGAACCCTGTAGGTCGAGAATAACAGTATGGGCAATCTCAATCGCTTAGCAGCATGATAGCAGTAGTAGAAGTGTACCTTGAACAGCCCGGTGACGCACACGACGGGGACGGAGAGGTCGCTCGCCGCCAGAGCCACGGCGTGGCTGCCGTTGAGAGCGATTAGGCCCCCATTGGCCACAACAGCGTGTGTGGACAGGATCACCTTCAGGGGTAACAATCGTCCAATGGAATCAAGGGGCAGAAATGAACACGGGAAGACCGGAAACGCGAAAGGTTTTGCTGCTTCAGTCAGCAGGTGTTCGAGAGGCGGCAGCAAACACCTCATCCACTTCGTACCGGGAAATGTTTCACTCGACCGCCATGTCGACCACTGCGGTCATCGTAACCAAAACATGTCATCGTGATGCAAACCCACGGCAAGGGATCACTGCTGGTGATAGGTGGCCACAAACGGGTTGGCAGACGAAGGACTGGGGTCGACGCCGGGGTGAACGACTTCGAAAGTCCTGACATCATGCATACAAACAAAAACACTCATTTCGTCGAAACCCACCGATTGACAACCGCACCTTGTTAACCCTGGCCATCATGGCGAACACCGCGCTGTCGCTGATTACGGTTGTGTCGATGCCATGCTTGGCCAAGCTCTTGGCGAGAACCTGACCACCGCGAAAAAAATTACAGAGCGGCCAATGTGCATGTACGTACGTTTAGCGATTGCCAAGCGTACTCAGAGAAGAGGAACATCTGGTGTAGCCGCGAGGGCGAGACACAAACGCCCACCCGACATGCAGTCCAATCCCCACCGCCCCCCCCGGTGTTTTGCCATCGGAGTTGGGTTTTCGTCGCTTGGCAACGACGTTGTAAAACAAGCCAATTCACTTCGTGAACTCGGCAACCAGGTTACCGGTTTTTTTTTACCTCCGTTTTTTTTTTTGGCGGTAACCATAATGGTGGTCGAGTAGATCATGTTGTGCGGGGTGAACCCTCGCTCCGCGCAAGGGGGATGATCGCACCACGTTGTGTTAGAATGGTCAAGCACCCTCGAGGCAGTTACACAGTGCTTACAACTGCCTGTGGAAGTGAAAGCACCAGAAAGTAAATTAAGTCATACGCAGCTGTCATCCATACGCAAGGAAGTAAGCACAAGATGCCGAAAACCCGTAGCAGGATGCAGCGCACCCTTCATGCGACTCGCCGAATATCTCACGGCGCTTCGCGCTTGGTGATGTGAGAGCCTGGTCCGGTGAGAACCCGGCGTGCTCC